CCAATCATAGCATTCGTTGTCAGAGGGACCCACAAGTCCCAACGGATCGAAGGTTTGAGGAGAACAGCAGCCGGAAGAGGTAACTGTACCTTGAACCGAAAGATGTCAGTCCCGGGTTCCCATATTAGACCGAGAGTGCTGACGGATTGTGGATCTTGCAGGTCGTGCCATGGCTGGATAGATCGATTTTCTGGTGGAATATCTTCAAGGACTTCGACGGAGTTCGAAGCCCACTTCTTCATTGGGATGAGAAAAATCAAGCATTGCTGATACTTCACGTCGAATTTGGATGGCTGACTCGACATCATCGGCACCTGACAGAAAGTCATCGACGTAGAAGTTCTTGGCAACTGGTTCCGCAGCGGCAGGGAATAAGTAACCTTGTGGAGAATCATCTGACGGTACATCGTAAGAGAATTTAGTGCTGGGATCACGTTCGAGTCGGCGTTCCAAACTGAGGAATCGACGTTCGGCAATGGATTCCGAATTTCCCAAAAAGATTTCCGGATTGTCCCGTATTCAAGCTCTCGAGTGCCACCACGAAGACGAGAGTAGTGTTTGATGCATCGTGTAAGACAGCATCGGGCTATTCGTTGAACGATCTACTTCTTGTCGGACCTGTCGTTCAAAACGATAGGTAAGGCCTCAACAATTGGTTTTGGATGGGATTGAAGCTATTCCATCCAATACCATTCCTAACTCAACCTTATATTAATACCAATCCAATCTTATTTTAGAGCTTTCAATAACCGATATAAATTCAATCGAAATCCAACATAAGGCCTAATCCCAATCAAATTGAAATATTAACTAATCCAATTCAATTCTTATTATAATCCAATAACCGATCTTACTCTCTTTAAATCCATCATGAAGCAAAGCTTAACCTATTTCAAATTCAATTCAAATCTTATACTGTTTCAATCGAATTCCATTTCAATTTTATTAAACCCAATCCAAATTTAATCTTTGTTTAAACCAATCCAAATTCAATCTAAGTTCAATCCAAGCCAAAAGCAATCAAAATCCAATCCATATCCAACCTCAAGCCAATCAAAATTCAGTCTTAATCCCATAAAAGTGCGATCCAATCCAAACTCAACAATGTAAATACAATGCAAATCCAATCATAATTCAATCCAATACCAATCCAAAACCAACCTTAATCAAGTATCAATTCAATTTAATTTCTATAATATTCCAATATAATTCCAATCCAAATCGATTCTATATCCAATCCTAATAAAATTCCAATCTGACCCAACGCCAATTCACATCCAATCCTAGTCCAAATCAAAACCAATTCGAATCTAGGTCAAGCTAAAATCAAGCCAAACGTTATTCGACCTAAATGCAACCTAAATAAAACATAAAGCCAAGTTAAAGCCTATCCAAATACAATAAAAATTTTATCCCATTCCTTTTCAAATCTGATCGAAATCCAACCTAAATTTAATCCAAATTTAATCCAATCAAAATTCAATCTTCGTTTAATCCGATCCATAACCAAACCAAACCCAACTCAAAAATAAAACTATTCCAATCCAAATCCAATCCAAATCCAAATCCAATCCAAATCCAATCCAAATCCAATCCAAATCCAATCCAAATCCAATCCAAATCCAATCCAAATCCAATCCAAATCCAATCCAAATCCAATCCAAATCCAATCCAAATCCAATCCAAATCCAATCCAAATCCAATCCAAATCCAATCCAAATCCAATCCAACCAAATCCAATCCAATCCAAATCCAATCCAAATCCAATCCAAATCCAATCCAAATCCAATCCAAATCCAATCCAAATCCAATCCAAATCCAATCCAAATCCAATCCAAATCCAATCCAAATCCAATCCAAATCCAATCCAAATCCAATCCAAATCCAATCCAAATCCAATCCAAATCCAATCCAAATCCAATCCAAATCCAATCCAAATCCAATCCAAATCCAATCCAAATCCAATCCAAATCCAATCCAAATCCAATCCAAATCCAATCCAAATCCAATCCAAATCCAATCCAAATCCAATCCAAATCCAATCCAAATCCAATCCAAATCCAATCCAAATCCAATCCAAATCCAATCCAAATCCAATCCAAATCCAATCCAAATCCAATCCAAATCCAATCCAAATCCAATCCAAATCCAATCCAAATCCAATCCAAATCCAATCCAAATCCAATCCAAATCCAATTCAAATCCAATCCAAATCCAATCCAAATCCAATCCAAATCCAATCCAAATCCAATTCAAATCCAATCCAAATCCAATCCAAATCCAATCCAAATCCAATCCAAATCCAATCCAAATCCAATCCAAATCCAATCCAAATCCAATCCAAATCCAATCCAAATCCAATCCAAATCCAATCCAAATCCAATCCAAATCCAATCCAAATCCAATCCAAATCCAATCCAAATCCAATCCAAATCCAATCCAAATCCAATCCAAATCCAATCCAAATCCAATCCAAATCCAATCCAAATCCAATCCAAATCCAATTCAAATCTTAGACCATTTGAATTATGTTTCAATCTACGTTCAGACCAAATCAAAACCAATCCTTACTAAACCTTACGCCAATCCTATTCCAATATTATTCTAATACTATGAGAATCCTATACACATACAATCGAAATCCAACATAAACCCTAATCCAAATCCAATTTAAATAAATTTTAAATAAAATGAATAAAATTCAGTCTTAATCCCATAAAAATACAATCTAATCCAAACTCAACATAAAGCCTATCCAAATCCAACTCAACAATAAAACCAACCGGTGGAAACTAATGATTTTAAATTGGCTCACTACTTGACTAGTCTATTTGTCCCAAGCAAATCGATTAACGTACCCCATTCTAGTCGAAATTCTAGTACTACACAATGTTTGTTTTGATTCGCTATGAAACAGACAGATAAAATGGGGGGTTAGTGGATTTTCCTATGTTTCGAGGGGTGAATCGATTAGCTTGGGACCGAAGATAGTACCAGCAACAATCAATACGAAACTGCCATATGCCATTTCAATTAAATTCCGTTCAAATTTTATAGAACCCTATCTATGTTTAATCTAATCCAAATGTAATCCTTGTTTAAGCTAATCCTAATCCAATCTTAATCCCATTAAAATCCAATCCAATCCAAATTCAACAATGAATCAGTTCCAATTCAAATACCATCAAAACCCAACATAAAGCTAATCCAAATCCAATTCAAAATTAAAACCATTTCAATTAAGTTTCAATCTCGGTTCAATCGTATCCAAGTCTTATCCTAATTGAACCTTAAGTCAATATGAATCCAATCTTATTCGAATCCTATCCAAATCCTATTTAAATACTATCGAAATGCAACATAAAGCCTAATCCAAATCCAATTCAAATATTAATCTAATCCAAATAAGTACTCCAAATTGTTCAGGAGTTCAGACTATTTGAGTTACTGGATCATCCAAGACCTGCGAGATGTCCTCAGTGACGACACCTTCCCAAACATATTCATGTAGTTTTTACGCATCACTTATAATAAATTTTGATGTATTCAAGATGCTCAAGATTCTCAAAATTATCCAGGAGTTCAGATCAAATGATCTACCAGATCAACAATGGCTGATACAATGCCTTTAATCATGAAACAACTCCAAACAGGTTCATAGCGATCATGCACATAATTTACGTTTCAATTCCTTGTGTATAAGATTTTCTAGGTTCTCCAAATTGTCCAGGAGTTCAGCCTATTTGATCTACTGGATCAACCAAGACCTGCACGATGTTCTCAGTGGAAAAAAAACCTGCCCAAACATGTTCAAAGAGTTGTTGCGTTTCACTTATAATCCATTTTGAGGTATATAATACGGTGAAAGATATTCAAATTACCCTGGAGTTCTTATACGAAGTTCCCGCTTCTACGAATTTTTTCCGACTTTTTACAAACTTCTCTGAATTTCTGCAAAAGTCTCAGAAACTCTAAAGAAGTTTCCCTAATTTTTGTGTAAATGGTGTCCCACATCAAGTTGCATCACGGAATAAAAATGCTGTAGAAAATTACCCATTGGGTATTTTCTCTTCAAAATTTGGGTAGAAGTAGTTTAGAGTGTATTGTTTACACTGTATTTTTATCGCTGTCAGTTTTTCGAATGTTGGAAAAACTGGCGTTGTCACCCGAAAAGCAATGTCGCGAATTGATTTTGCGCAAGCACCTGGAAAATCCTCAACTCTCTCATCGGGACATTGGAAAACAACTCGGAATCGTGCAGTCAACGGTGAGTCGTGTGATTAAACGTTACTACGAAACTCTGAGCATCGAACGGAAGGAGAAATGCGGTCGGAATGGATGTTCTATTAGTGATCAGGATCACAAGCGTGTCGTGAAAGCGTTTAAGCGGAATCCCAATGCTTCGGTCAGGGATGTGGCCAAACCGTTGAATCTGTCCAAGTATTTCGCCAAAGACCGGGAGGGACTGCCTGATTGTTTCATCATGGATGAAGACTTCCGGCAGCTTCCGGGGCTACTGTTCTTCACCGCCCAGTACAAGTTGGATCTGCTCATGTGGCAAACGGAGTGCGCCGTTCGTGACTACCGGGACTGTAAAAGGGTTGATCCACTTCAAGGAGTGTTTAAAGAAGCGTCTGTTTCCTCTGTTGAAGCAACACGAGGACCTTACGATCTTCTGGCTGGATCTAGCTTAGTGCCACTATTCAAATGTTGTCCGGGAGTGGTACGAAGCCAACGGGGTCACTTTCGTACCCAAGGACATGAACCCACGAGATATAGAATAACATTAGCCTACTAGATTGTTTGAGGGACCGAGGTTACCATCGACGTATGAAAAAAAAGTATTCACATATCTATATTATAGAACATTGAGATATGGAGAGTTGACTGTTTTTTTTTTAAATACAAGAATATTCACCCAGGAAAGTGAAACTAAATGAAAGAATTTTCATAACCTATACAGAATTCAGTTTCAATAACTTCGAACTCTTTTTTTTCAGATCCCGTCATCCACAAATTCACATCCTTCTCCCAAACCAATCGCATCAGCATCAATTCGAAGATGGTCCATCCTGCCTGGGCTCGTAAAATGAACAATGGAAAGCAGCATTTTCCGAACCACTTCAGCCACACGAATGAAGATGATGCTGATTTCCGCGCAGCTAGAAGGAAACTGCAATTAACCTCCACTAATCCTCGGACAACGTCCGTCGGTCATGTTGCTGGTGGCCGCTATCGATGGCGCCATCAATCGTCGGCAATCAACGGCGCAAACGGTGCCTATCGCCGTAGACCTCAATCCTATTTCGACAATTATCACCATTCCCACTTTGGCGGCGGAATTCGTCCTTCACGAGCCCATTCGCGGGAAACGCAGCTGAAGAGGTAGGGTTTTTTTGTGGCGAATCCCACTAACCAAGTGCCTCTACTAAATCATCCCCTTCCCCTCGTCAGATTTGCGATTTACAAGATACGAGCTGCTGTTCCGATGGATTTGGAATGCTCTTCCGTTGTAAGCATCGCTAATGGGGAGCGAAACGAAAGCGTCGTCGTCAAGTCAACGAGGTTGGTAAATTGAAATCGTGTTAGGGCCATTTTTAAGCTTTCAAGTGTAGCACTTAAGTCATCACTCCGAACCGACGTCCGCACAGTGGCATTTAATACCATCAGCATCAGTGCAAATGCAAATCAATCAAATTTCAATTACTAATTGAGACCGGACCGCATTTGACTGCAGCTCTGCCGCCCTGAACTGCACTGACGACGACGCACATTATCACCCCATTATGGATGTAGATGTATGCAGATGACAGTTTATGCCACCATCGCCACCGCCGCCACCGCCGCCACCGCCTACTATTCAAGCTTGCATAAATGGAAGATTAGGGTTAAAAGCGTGGCGAGGGGGAATGCGTGTGGTCATCCAACCCAATAACGGCCATCAATTATAGCCAATATTGACTTGTGTGTAGTCATTCACGATAACAATAGATGGCGTGTCAGGCATTCGATGGGGATGCGATTCGGCGGTGTCAGTTCTCAGGAAACTGCCAGTGGTGACATTGCGGTCATCACTCGGAGGACGTGGACGACCCACTGGTGATGATCCCTGCTGGTCTCCGGTGGAATGGGATTTGAATTGATTTGCGCACATTGGTGGAGCTAGGGGTTTCTACGAGGGGTCACAGTCGAAGGAGGAAGAAATTCTTGAAAAGTAGAACTTGAATAGTACGGTGGACTTTTCTTTTGAGAGTCAGTTCGATGAAACTTCTTTCAAAAGGGCCATCGGGCATCCCTTTCGGAAGTCAGTGCGGTAGGCCTTCCTTTCAGAAGTCATTCCGGTGGACCTTCCTTTCGGAAGACATTCCGGTGGACCTTCCTTTCGGGAGTCATTCCGATGAACCTTCCTTTCGTAAGTCAGTCCGGTGGACCTTCCTTTCAGAAGTCAGTCCGATGGACCTTCCTTTCGGAAGTAATTCCGGTGGACCTTCCTTTCAGAAGTCAGTCCGATGGACCTTCCTTTTGGAAGTCAGTTCGGTGGACCTTGTTTTGGGAAGTCAGTCCGGTGGTCCTTACTTTCGGAAGTAAGTCCGGTGGACCTTGCTTTCGAAAGTCAGTCCGATGGAACTTCTTTCAAAACGTCCATCGGACATTCCTTTCGGAAGTCAGTCCAGTGGACCTTCCTTTCGAAAGTCAGTTCGGTGGACCTTCCTTTCGAAAGTCAGTCCGATGAACCTTCTTTAATAAGGTCAATCGAACTTTCTTTTCGGAAGTCAGTCCGGTGGACTTTCCTTCCATTAGGTCCATCGGACATTCATTTTGGAAGTCAGTCCGGTGGTCATTCCTTTCGGAAGTCATTCCGGTGGACCTTCCTTTCAGAAGTCAGTCCGGTAAACCTTCCTTTCGAAAGTCAGTCCGATGGACCTTCCTTTCGGAGGTCAGTTCGGTGGACCTTGTTTTGGGAAGTCAGTCCGGTTATCCTTACTTTCGGAAGTAAGTCCGGTGGACCTTGAACTTCTTTCAAAATTTCCATCGGACATTCCTTTCGGAAGTCAGGCCAGTGGACCTTCCTTTCGGAAGTCAGTCCGATAGACCTTCCTTTCGGAAGTCAGTTCAGTGGACCTTCCTTTCGAAAGTCAGTTCAGTGGACCTTCCTTTCGAAAGTCAGTTCGGTGGACCTTCCTTTCGAAAGTCAGTTCGATGAACCTTCTTTCATAAGGTCCATCGAACTTTCTTTTCGGAAGTCAGTCCGGTGGACTTTCCTTCCATTAGGTCCATCGGACATTCATTTTGGAAGTCAGTCCGGTGGTCATTCCTTTCGGAAGTCAGTCCGATGGACCTTGCTTTCGAAAGCCAGTTCGGTGGACCTTCTTTTGGGAAGTCAGTACGGTGAATCAGCCTTTCAAAAGTCAGTCCGGTAGACCTTCCACCATACCTATTGCAAACATTGTTGTACCAACCGGTGGAAACTAACGATTTTAAATTGGCTCACACTGGACTAGCCTATCGGTCCCAAGTAAATCGAAGAACGTGAATCATTCTAGTCGCAATTCTAGTACTACACTATGTTTGTTTTGATTCGCTATGAAAGTTTGACAGATAAAACGTGGATTTTCCTATGTTTCGAGGGGTGCATCGATTAGGCTTGGGACCGATGAGAGTACCAGAGGTGAGCCAAAAAGTTGAGCACGTTTCTTCGAGACCTTCTGGTCTTAGAGTTACTTCTATGGTTGTGCTACAACCGATGCACTAGATTAAAGGATATCAAATTTAGTTCAATCATGTCTAACCTACTTATAAGTCATATTAACCTATCGAGCGCCCCCTTCCCTGTACAACCCAAATCCGCTCCTGTTGCCATCAATTCAGAACGGAAAATTATGCAGATTTGTCTCGTGAGGACCATGTTGATGACTAGCTATGCGTGTTACAATGATTGCAACACCATTTTGCATCAAATGCAGATCCAACACATTACCGCGCCCTGATTTTCTGCTTATCGGAAATCTAACCTCCGAGTCGGATTTCAAATTCGATTAACCCGTCCGTCATTCCCTTGAATTTCCCGGAGAAAAAATTCCAATTTTTCCACAAAACTTCGAACCGAAGATAATTGATGCGATCCATTCACTAATTTGGCCTGGCCATCGCCGTCCGTGTCTTCTCTTTAACCCCATTTCACAGACTGACAAGCTCATCGAATATTTACGTCAATCAAATCAGCTCAATTAAATTCCAAGCTGCAACCGTTGTTTCCACTTCGAGAAGAAAACCTCGAACGACGACGACGACGACGACCGATAAGAACCATCAACGGCAAGGGCATCCATCGGTCAGAGCCCCCACCTCCTCCTCCTCCAGTAGCCATCGGAAAAACAATCATCGACACGGCTTCAGCCCAACAACGGCCACTTCCTCCCCTTCCACCGACGCTGAATCTAATCGCAACGAGTTAATGCTAATTGATCCGAGCGAGTTGTCGGATTTATCGACCCCCTGGCAGGAAGGAAGCTCCGAAGAGTTTTTCGAGCGCGACCAAGGAGATGGGGCGGAAAAGCTGCTCTGGGGTGGTGAAAAACGGTTCGTTCGTGAAGCAACATTCTCGCAGTCGGAGGAGGAGGAGGATCTGGGTGAAGGAAGATTGATTTGTCCGGAGCTAGGGCCGCACAGGGAGCAGGTTAAGGCGGAATCGATCCGGAGCTATTTCGGCGGAGGAAGCAGAACTCGATTGCGGCACTGCCCACGCGAGGAAGGACTGCTGTGCCTGGAGGCACCTGTTGAGGTGGCTGTGGGTAAGTGGTTTTTTTTTAGTGGTTTTAAAGAGTAAGACGTTTGAAGGATGGATGTGTTTGAATTTATCTTGTAAATGGTCTATCGATTATTTCACCTGTACAGGGAAACATCAACCGGTGGGAACTAACGATTTTAAATTGGCTCACTACTTGACTTGCCTTTTGGTCCCAAGCAAATCGATTAACGTACCTCATTTTAGTCGAAATTCTAGTACTACACTATGTTTGTTTTGATCTAAGAGGAAGAGGTGACAATTGGCTTCTTCCTCTTTTATTTCTATCTCTATCTCTATCCTTATCTATCTCTATCTCTATCTTACGCACATGAAATCGGCCAATCAGGAGCTGGTTCACGTTTGACAGAAAAGTGGTTCATTTTCGCCCCCGTATTGTCACCTCTTCTCTTAGGTTTTGATTCGCTATGAAAATTTGACAGATAAAATGAGGGGTTCGTAGATGTTCCTTTTTTTCGAGGGGTGAATCGATTAGCTTGGGACCGAACATAGTACCAGAACTGAGCCAAAAAGTTGAGCACGTTTCTTCGGGACCTGATGGTCTTAGAGTTACCTCTATGGTAACATTTAAGGTGACAAATAACGAAGTGAAACCACTCGGAATATTGGAGGCATTTCACGAGAACCTTTGGAAGAGTTCTGCCAGGAGTCATCAAAGAAACTTCCCCGGGAATTCTAAAGGTATTTTGAAAATCTTAAAAAAGCAGTAAGTCTTTCAGAGATCCCAGAGAAATTCTTTCTGAATTATCGCAGGAATGCCTTCCAAATTCCAGAAGGAGTTCTTTCAGAATTTTCATTTCAATTAATGAATTTTGGTTCAATTCCAGGAAAAAACTTCATCTGTAAATTCCGGAAGAATTATTTTAAAACTGCCATAAGGGATTCATTCAGAAATCCAGGAAGACATCTCTTGAAATTCCAGCAGTATTTGTGATTTTTTTAAAATTTAATTCCCGTAGGCATTCCTCCAGAATTCATGGAAAAAATCATTAAGAAATTCCAGTTGATTCAATTTTTCCAGAATTTTCGAAATAGTTTCAGAAATATCTCCCAAAATGATGAGCTAATTGCTCCGGGAATTTTGAACCTCGCAGGAATTCTTTAAAAGTTCCAGAAAAAAAATAACTGTATGATCGCAGGGATGCCTTCAGAATTCCAGAAGGACTTCTTTCAGAATTTAAGTTTAGGATTTTTATCACCAGTCATGAAAAAAATATTACCCGAAATAAAACATACTTTCAAAATTCCCAGAAGATGTTTTTCGGGAATCCTCTAAATGTTTCTTCCGGAAGGTCCGGAACCGATTCTTTCGATCTTTCGGGGAAATTCTTACAGATTTTCATGAAGAAATCAGTCAGAAATCTAGGAAGAAATCTATCGAAATTCTGAAGCAATTCTAAATGAATATTTTTTATTCATGGAGGAATTCCTCCAGAAATCACGGAAAAATAATAAGAAATCCCAGTGGATGTAGTGTTTCCAAAATGCTTGAAAAAACTTCATGAAATCTTTGTGAAATTATGCTCTATTTCCTCTGGCAATTTTGAGCCTCGTCGAACATTTTTAGAGAATGCAAAAAAATTCTAATAATCGGAGGAATGCCTTCAGAATTCCAGAAGGAATTCGTCCACAATTTTAGCATAATATTTTTCTGAAAGAATCGTTTAGAATTGCCGGATGCAAACTTTCCGAATGACCGTAGGATTTTTATCAGAAGTCCTGGGGAATCTTTTCCAAAAACAAAATACTTTCAAAATTCCCGGAACAATTTTTTTGTTAAGAATTCTAAATCCGAAATTTTACTCACTGAATCGCGCACTTTTTCCAGCAAAACTTCATCAGACTATTCCGGAGCAATTAATTTAGAACTTCCGGAAATACTTTCAAAATTCACGGGACAAATTTTTCAGAATTCTTAAAAAAAAACCTATGTTGAATTTTCGAAAAAAAATTACAGAATCCTGGAAGAATTTTTTTCCAATTCCAGGAGAAAACTTCATCCGAAAATTTTGAAAGAATTATGTTAGAACTTCCGGAATTTTTTTGAAAAAAATATTTCACACTATTAGCAATTTTTCCTCCAGAATCCTGGAAGAATAGTTTTCCAATAACAGGAGGAAACTTCATCAGAAAATTCCGATAGTCTTATTTTAAAATTTCTGGAATATCCGGAACCGATTGGTTTAGAACTTCCGGGGAAACTCTTATAGAATTTCATGAAGAAATCATAAATATTAATCTTTGTTGTACTCCTTGAGATATTCCTTCAGAATTCATGGAAATAATCAATAAGAACTCCTAAAAGATTCAATTTCTCCAGAATTTTTCGAAACAAAATCCAGGAATTCTTTATGAAAATATCAACTTCGCAGGAAACTTTTACGAGTTCCCAGAAAAAAATCTATCTGAATAGTACAAGGAATACCTTAAGAAATCCGGAATGAATTCTGGCAGGATTTCAATTTCCAGTCTCTGAAAAAAATAATTTCGAACTCCTGGATGAAAACATTCTGAATGACCGGAGGGTTTTAATCAGAAGGCCTGGAAAAATTATTTTCTAAAACAAAACTTCCAAAATTACCAGCACAAATTTTTCAGAATTAAAAAAAAATCACTTTCAATTATCATAATGATTCTTTCAGAATTCCCAAGGGGTAGTAACTCTACACACTTATTTTGCGCCAACTTTTTTCTCAGTGTGCCGCAGTTGTGTGCATGGCAAATGAGAACGACCCAAATTTGAGTTTAGTCAACTCATAAATCACATAAAGTGCAGGAACTCAGCGATGAGTAAATTTGCCTCATGTTTTCCCAGGTTTTTCCAGGATTTTTCAGGGAAAAATTCCCGAACTTGTGAAAAGTAAAGATTGGATTCACTCAGTCTATTGGTACTACTCCGAGACTGAATAAAATTTTCGTCAATTTCCGGCAGATTTTTTAGGTTTTCCACAGCTAACCATGAGCCAAATTTACTCACAGCTGAGTTCCTGCACTGTTGGCGATTATGAGTGAACTAAACTCAAATTTGGGTCATTCTCATTCGCCGTGTGTCATTGAACTGACTTTTGTTTGCTTGTGAATAATGCCTTGTATGGCAACCCGGTAGCAGCTCTTGTTTTTGTTTTGTTTTCCTATGTTTACAAAAACGACACGGACTCCAAGCCGTCTCCAAGGATGCCTGCGCTGGCGCCGGTGGTGTAGTGGTAAGCGTTGTAGAATCGTGTCGTTTCGGATATTACACTGATACTTTGGCACGCACGTCTAGTCTCGTAGGTAGAAGAAATAGGAGTACTTTATAATCTTTTCTTAGCATACAAGTCATGGCGCTCTTTTAGGTAGGGATTTTTTTTTTTTAAATATTGTTTATTTAGGTCTTAAATAACATATTCAAGATATTTAAAAAATATATCTATCTTCTAGAGTCAAAATGAAATCTAGCTCGCCTACATCTATTCTATTATTAATGTTCACATTGACAAAGTTGATGTACTTAATGAACGTTTTTAAAATTTGATTTCTTCTCGCTGTTGTCATGTTACCCAAGATTGACCGTACAAGATCGTCGAAGCTCAGCCTCTGCCAGCCGCCGAGCGTCGTCGTCAATTTTCGCTGGATGTGTGCCCAAGCTGCAGCAACTCGAGGGCTTTCGGAAAACTTATGTTGCAAAGTCTCGATTCCTACCGCACAGTGCTGACAGTTTGGGTCGTTTGCACGGCCGATGACGTTCATCAGTCTACGGTGCTCCGTCTTCTCGTTTACTAGCAGGTAGAGATCAGTACGCTGGCTCGACGATAGCCTTCTCGATGATATGTTCATCCAGATCTTTTTCCAATTGATGCCTGGATGGTTTCGTTCCACTCTGGGTAGCTCAGTTTGTTCCAAGTAGAAACGATGGATTTGATCGCTGGAGGGGTTTTGTTGCACGGAAACAAAAAACTACCCAAAAGTTGAGTTGAAAAAACTCAAAAGTATGTATAACGATTATAGTGCCCTTTTGCGTTGATTTTGAATCGACATTTAAATCATTTCTACTCAATTATTGAGTATATCGAATAAACATAATTTTGGGTAAAAATAAACTTAGACATTTTCTAGTTTTCTACATCACCAAGGTTCTAGTTGTCTAAGTTCAAAACTACTCATTATCGACTATTTCAGCTAAACTCGATGTTGAGTAAAATAAACTTAAATTTGGTTGAAAATTTTTCTTTAGCACATTTGTCACTTTGATTTGTGGCGTCATGCAGTGCGGAGTGCGGTAGATTTTCGGAGTGTTTTTGGCTAAATATCGGTTGTTGTTTGTGTCGCGTCTAAATATAGCAGGTAAGTAAGTTGAAATATAGTTAAAAGATACTAAAAGAAGCCAGATCCCCATCGAAGTGGAAATTTTCATTTCGGTTATCAAACCGATCCCAAAAAACCCCGTCGAAAAACGAAATCGGTTCTGGAAATCGAGCACCAGTTTTTTTTTTGTACCAAAAATATTATCATTAGAACAATACCGCAGCTGGATTCGTGAAACCGATTTCAAGTTTTAACATATTATAGAGATAGGGAAAATGACGGCTTCGGCAATATCTTATTCTATTATCGTCAGGGGGTAAACAACGTTCTTGAGAGCTCAATGTTGGCATGTTGATACATTGTGTTTCAGAGCATCTATTTGCCAAATTTGAGTGCTCTGGGAATGTTTACCACCCTGACGATGGTTAAGGTATTGCCAAAGCCGAATTTTCCCCTACTTGTTTTCATTATATTAAGATGAAAATTTCATGTTGCTTTTTTGTGTGTCATTACAGCTTATCCGGCAATAGTTTTCCCAACTGACAGTATCACCACATCACATCGCACAATGGAACGGCTTCAAAAAAAACCGTAAGCAAGTTCAAAACCGTTACAGATTTGTCTTATCGCTTCAAGGAGTACCTGAAAAATCCATTGCATAATTAATTTCATGTGTTTAAACTCTTCCTCTAATAAAATGAT